AGTTGGTCTAACCGTTGTCGATCAGTTAGGTCTCCTCGTTTTAAAATCGATAGCTTAAGCGATTCGTAAGGTTCGGAAACATCACTAGTAAACATACTAGGTGTTACGTACCTGTTAAACTCGCGCGGTAACGCCTTAACTACCGCGAGGAAACGTGTGCGCGAGTCCGTGATTCCGTGCATGCAAAAATCGGCTTCTGCATAGCAGAACCAGGACTCGATATTGTCGGGCCAAAATGGCGTTAACTGAATCGAAATAGGGGGAATAGACTTTAACTTAAGAACCTTAGGAGAGTGTTCCGTCATAGTAATATAGATATCGAAAAATGTCTAAGTAAAATATATCCGAGAAAAAAAACTACGAAAAAAGTATATCACAATATATAGAATTCAAATAAAGAATAACAATGAATAATAATATTCCAAAATGGAACAGACTCACAGTATATTGACTTGGTGTACCAGATCACGTCGAGTTCACCAATGATGATGCAACGGATATTCTAGTTTTACAACTAGATACCAGTAGCACCTTCTAAATTCGGTTGTTCCCAGTCAGATAGAAATCAGAAGTCGGACGAGAATAGGCTGGAAAGATATATTTGATTCGTTACCAATATATCGAGGACCTTTTCTATGAGCTGGCTAATGAAACGTAGGAGCTGTGTCCCACGCAGTATTGAAACGTGATCTGGTGCGGATGCATGACCGAAAGCCTTCAGCTAAACAAGTCCACTTAAACAACGTGGTCAGCATCCAATGTCGAACACTTAATGAGCTATTGATTTTGGGGAATTATTTACAGCTACATGATCATTAAGGAAAGAACTCTGATGAATACCAACTCCATCAAACATAACTGCTAACTCGCTTGCTTTTCATAGGTAATAATGTGATGATCTGTAATGTACCAACAAACCTATTTCTAGTCCCGAAATCCTTCCTTAGCTTTGATGATTTGGACTTTACTTAGATGTCTAGCCATCACGGCCCGACATTTTCCCAGTAGTTCATTATCCCTCACTAATCTTCTCTCTAAACTCTGGTTTCCGTCTAGCTGGTTCGAAATTCAGTATCACATACTTCCAAAATAAACCGTCCAGCTAGAAAATTAAAAACTATTTCGCAAGTTCACTCGTTCTTTACTGAATGTTCCTTGAAAAGCTCATGCAAGTCCTCTCACTCGTGATTTCACAATCTTTAAAGCTTCAATAAAATATCGTATATTGGAGGACAATGACTCCAATCAACTTGCTGTACTGATTTATTTGTTCTCTTAGAACCCATCATCATTCAACCTTGATAAACATGCACACAGAATGGACTTTCGTGTCACTTTGACATTGTTGTAAGACCTAGTGTGTTACTGAGAATCCTCTTAATGCTTCTACTAATAAAGCTGATGCCCAGTTAGTTGCTCTGCATCACCTATCGGTAGCTGACTGATCGCACAAACGGTACTGATTTGTGCAAGTTCAATACCATCCAAAGAAAATACCCCTAAACTTCTAAACGTCTATACTGGGTGGTGTCATTCATAGTCTTTATGCCAGTCATCAATCCGTTACCTTCCAGGCAAAAATGATTAGTTATATTTTTATATACGGGAGTATTAGGTAAACGATTGTCTAGAAAGGATTAAGTTCCAAAAATTCTTTTAGGACCATTTAGTTTTACTGGTATAATACCCAAATAAATCCTAAATGAGTTCCCTTCCTGAGATTAATTAACAGAATTGTTCTTGTCCTTTTTATCATGTTACGTTGTTTAGTATTTTACCTTAAAGTCCTTAACTTTACATTTCAACCCTGAGCGACATGCAACGATCAAGTGACCACTTGCCAGACATATATAAAAGAGACCGATTCCCCGTACTTCAAATCTCCTCTGAATAACATTAGTTATCCATAACAAGACACGATCCATAACCCCATAATTCATTATGTTCTTTGGGTAGCCAAACTCATGAATAAATCAAGGTGGAAACTTTTAATGAACTGACTTTTTTAACCTTTTTTGTCAAAATTTGAGATATGTTGTCCAAGCAAGCTACTCTACCAACCCTGACTCTTACTTTATTAATGAAAACAACTTTTGGAATTCCGATTTTTTTTATTGTCAGCTTCCACACACTTACTCTGTAAGCCTATTCTTAAGACTAATACAGTTGTTCCCAAATGCGTTGCAGATTTTACATCAGATATATATGCAATCTACTCCAGTGCTGTATATATGTTGCGTAGCCTCTTTGCAAGGCCATTCAGATCGTCAGCTTAACCTCCTACTAGTTCATGGTTGGGCAAGTCCACAGTTAGCAAACAGTTAATTAAATTTTCACTTTTGAACAGATCTTACGAAAATCGTCTCAATTTTCAAGGTGAAGCCTTAATAGCCGAGTTTCACTGAAATTAATAGCCGACCAGCGTTATACCACCATTGGAAGCCTGTAAGAGCTGGACAGAAGTTTCATTTTGGTATAGGACTCCTCAGAAGTGAGAATCCACGAACAATATTTGGCTCTTATTAGGTGATTTATATTCAAAATAACTAGTAAACTGACTAATAAGTCTGTGGTACTGACTAGTTTGCTCATCAAAATGCATAATAGCAACCCTGAGTAAACCAACAATGTCAATTATTGTACACAGCATATCCTTAATATTAACAAAGTAATTCGCCTTTAAGACTGCCATACTATTCCTCTGAACGAAGTTTACAACAAGCACTAGCCTCTAGATACCTTTCAACATCAGGAATTCCATTATTAACATCCACAGGTAGCTATTTTCAATTTCAACTTGGATGTTTTTTAGTCATAGCCCTTACTCCATATTGAGTCTGCTTTCCAACCGTTTATTCATAAATGAAGTCATACTTAACTCAAACTTCGCAGAACTTAATTGAAAAGAATTTAAATTATAAACGCTAACTTTGTCATCACATTTATCAAAATTAACATCATACTTAATGTGGGCAGCTTTAGGAACATAACCCTTCAAACTCGAGTAGTATTTGGACTTTTGCTTCGGATTTCTGATGAGTATCATTGTTCTTTTCTAAGGTTTTACGTTGTGGTAAGTTCTAAATCGATCATGAACAAATAATCCTTGTTCATCAAGGATGCTGTTCAGGTACGTGCATGTCTCCACGTTCACCAGAGCTTCTCCATCAAGTGTGATTGGTTTGGTGTTCTCTTTGTTGTATTTGAGAATCTTTACACTTAAGTTTTTATCGAAGGGGTTAAACGTCAATAAGTTGTTTGAAATAGTAATAAGCTAATCTGTAGTTACTTGAGTGCTTTTCAGTGAACTCAAATGACGGATATAATATTTATATCTGACAACAGATCGACTAAGATATGATGGAATAAAAAGTCAATATTAATCCAGGCCACTTTTATTGTATATTTCATTATGCATTTTGTCTGGCTTGACAGATGTGAGCTCTCAGTACCATATTTATATACCCTATATTATTTGAGGTGAACTATATTTAGTGAGTTTGTTCAATTTATATATTTTTTTCCATGTTTGCTATTATCGTGTTTAAAAATCGGCATATAAATGAGTATGTTTTGGTTTGATGGTGACAATTTGGACAACTTATTTTAGGTATGTGTTTTTGAATAGTTAATCCATCTTCATTTGGACCAGTCTTCTGTGCTCTTAATCGGCTTAGTGAGGATTACAGCGGTCTCTGCTTTCTAACCAGTAAGACGGTGGACACAACATAGCTGACAAGAACATAATAAACAAAAAAATAAGATTGTTAAGAACCTTACAAATTCTATCATATAATTATTAGCTTAATAGCGTTATGCACATTGTTTTTATTAGGTTATTAAAAGAATAGCGGTAAAGTTTGTCAAAAAAAATTAGAATTCTCTAAATTAATAGTTGTAATGTTTGTTATAAACTGGAATCATTTGAGGGCCAACTAAAAAACGGATATTTCTGACCAGATTTGTGATCCTTAATCAAGGTTACTTGGCATTACCCACTCAAGTTAACATAAATGGTAGCACACAGAAACTTCATATCTCACTGTTAAGATGATACCATTGAGCTATTGAATCGCAATTTAATGGTCTGTAGCTTAAGTTCACTTTAATTGGGATTTAACAGGATTATCTTCCAATTTCATCAATAGTTCATCTCATAATAAATGATTTTCCCATTTCTATGAGAAGCCCCAAACTTAAATGAAATAACTTTTTAGCAATTTCATGTTTTCAATGGTTCATCAAATGAAATCAATTAATGATGAACATTAGAATGTTTGTTGTCATAACTGGATTATTTCTTGTGTTATCATTCTAACAGACGTATGGCCTTGTGCTTTAGTCAGAATATAGATGTCCCAATTATTGTTACTAACACGTCTGAAATATAGTTCGTCTAAGCTGTTGTTAAGTTTTATGTTACTGATCACTCCCGAAAGGTTATAATCTAAATATACTCATTCATTGATCACTACTCTTAGTGTCGCTTTAGAAAATAAAAGTAATAAAAGGTTGTGAACTGACAGATATTCTGTAGTCTTTATAATAATGCCCCCGAATGCCCTGGTACGACAGAGAGCGGAGAGAGTCCGCTCTCCCTCTCGAAATGCTCTCACATGACCACGCATATATAGCCTCTGCCAAGGAAGTCCTATTCACTAACCTCTCGCTCCAGGGGTGTTGTTTACGAAAGTAAGAGAACAAAAAGCGAATGTCCAGCGCTTTAACCGGGTTGGTGGGCACGGCGAGTCCATCTAGGGAAGTATGAAAACCCTCATTCCAAACCAATGGTGCACATGGGCTCCAGTATCCTGAGGTAACAGATGGCGTATGAATCAATCGTTGGTCACTGGCTACCATGGGACTGCATCCTCTTACGATGCTCCACTGCCTTGTGGATCAGATCTTTGGATCAAAGGCTCGGGGTGTGGCCCACTAAGAAAAACACCTTCTTCAGTTTGGGCACCTGGATAGTACCACAGCCCTCATACAAATCAAATGAGATTTGTGCGGTGCATATGTATCTGTTGTTTCCTTGTAACAATATTTATGTGGTTAAATAAATAAAATAGTCTTTGTAATATTGTTATTACCAACAAAGCTGATTTTAACAAAGAACATAATAATCCACAGATTTGAATATTTAAATTTACGAAAAGTATAATTATTAATTTCTAGGGATATATATTTGTCAACTCAGTAAAATGAAGATAGATTTACTGAAAAATGTTTGATCAAATTAGGCGAAACTATTCATGTCAAGAAAATATATGATTGCCGATGAAAATTGGCAAGTACAAAACCTCATTGTAAAGCTACGTATAATATCACCTTAAAACATTCAACACTAACAATTAGAACATTAAATAAACAGTTAATTTAACAGTAAACTGTATACAGTTGTCAAGTAAGATGAGTTTTGTAAAAGAGAATATTTATTAATTAGGCAATATATAAAAACAATAAATCCAGTTCCATGTGGATAACGTTAAGTAGATCAGTATACTTAATAAATCTATCAAGGATGTCAAATAGAAACGATCATATCTTCTTTTACCATTGGTCAGTGAAAAAGCGGCATCATATTTTGACGCTAAATTTTCATGATAATTCTTGGGAGGATAGTAAATTAGTTTTTGTCGATACCGACGACAAGAATTATTACGATCACAAAGCTTAAAGAAGATTGATTTCTTAATGAACGACTCTTCGCAAAGCTTGATGTTTTGCTTTTTTGTTGAATATTCTTTTTTAAAAGGACTCATGAGGCATTCTAGACGACTGTTCCATTGAGCAAAATGATTATTCACTACAGCAACGATAGTCGCCAAACCCATGAAACCTAACTGATTCAATATATAAATTCCTGAGTTTGTTACATAGTGAAAAAGAAGGAAAGAATTAGCGAACTTTTGAATAAAAATGATATCATTGTCAAGGTAACATGAAATATGTCTGACTGGTTGTTAAATAATTTTTACACGGAAATAAATGAAAAGTAACCATCTTGTTATAATATGAGGATCCTCAGTGGTCCCCACTCAGGACTTCACACGAGATGTAATGTATATGGCGAAATATAAAGTTTAATTGGCAACCAAGAATTTTGACAAGCTACAAGGTAGAGAAATTTGGTTGTAATTGTTTAGACTCTTGGATTACCCACTAAGCTGAAACCAGCAGGGGAATACTGAGTATGGGATAAAGAGCTTCTAAAAAGATTTAGCCTAGTTTTAATTCCGATGAATATATGCGTATTTAATAGATTTGCTTTTCTGTTGGTTAAATGAATAGTTCAAATTTCAGTACATTGTGTAAATTTTATTTAAAATTATTGTTTAATTAACTAAAAGATAACTTTTCTTCGTATTTTGTGTTAGCGATCAACAGATTGGATTCCTGACAGTTTTCTTTTAGGATGATGATATAAGTGAGGCTTTTATGCAAATAATATTACTGATTTTAAAAAACCATATACATATACTCACAGGTGACTAACCTCATGAATAATTCCTGGGATTCTAATGAGAGTTCTAGACCGATGGACTTTAACCTTGTCCGGAGTGTAACACATATAACCAATGTCAATGGATGATGGCTGTGAAGTATCATAAACTTATTGAAGTTGAAAATATGTAACGGTGAATCTGAACATAGGGATTTAAAGATAAAATGCTCGCCGAGAAATCTGAAGCTCTCAGTTCAATATCTGACAGGGTCTTGGTTGAACACTTCTGAGGCGGATAAAACAAATATTCAGTGCTTCCTGGTTTCTGATGCGTGCATAACTAAAGTAAAGTGATCATGTAAACTGAATAGTCTCCATAAAACGTCTTCCTAAAAATCATTTCCTTCCCACATTTGTATATAAATTGTTCTTGTATATGATGTAAATCTGATTTTAAGACAGAATTGGTGTTCAACTGGACAATAACTGGTATTCTCTCATTTACAACCGATTTCAGGCTTACTTTTGGAAACTCGAGTTTATCGAGATATTTAACTGAATCTGTTTCAAAATCAACCTCTCTCAGTTGTGTAACCGGAATACATACTTGAATTTAGTATGCTATCAGAGTAGCCTCAAATCAAGTCTAGAATTCTTATCATTAGAAAGGTATTCAATAATCCAACAACAACTGAATGGATTAGATGATTATGTAATCTTTATCATTTATCAAATATTAGTTGTCTTACAAAAACTAAATTCACTCAAATTTTGAAAAAGTAACTTAGAGTTCATTCTAATCAAATTTCCATGAATTTTCAAGAACACCTAAAACCGTGTATCATCAACTCAGTTTATTTAGGTGCATTTGGTTGTATTGCCAATAATTCTTAATTAGTTGGCTGAGAGAAATAATACTACACTTCGTAATCTCTTGTTGACTAACTAATTTCAGGCAACCTTTGAGCAGCTTCCATAACTAAATATTCTATCCATACACTTTGTACCAATAAACCTGAAGTCATCAACAGTTCATTCACTGTCGATCGTTGTGCCTTGTGTGAATTATGTACAGGTGGCTTATCAATGCCATTAGAAATAGCTAGTTTAAGATTTTAAAAAAGTTGGGACCAACAATGTCGTTCTTTCTATGTTAATGATTGACTTGTCCGTCGAAGTTCATTTTAAGAATGTTTAATTGAAATAGCAGTGGTTCTCGGATAACAGTTTTAGGGATTTCATTAGGAACAAAGCTATCACAGTTGAAAATATTATCTCTGCATATACTATTGATCCATCAATAAAAGTCCCAGGGCTTAAACTGGAAGTGTACTTACTTCAGTACCAGATAGCAACATATTTTATCTTGTTAATCTATATAATTTATATCTAAGTTGCTTAGAATAAAATAATATTACTGATAAATTATGATTGACAGTGGTGCTGAAGTTGAAATGTCACCTAATGTCTCTCCAGTGACAATCAAGCTAAGACGCTCCCTTAAAAGTAACCCCTTTCAATCCAACTTTTATTAAACCAAAGGTGACTGAAAATTAAAATATACAACCAAGAGAAACGTGTCGATTAGTGTTCTCATTTGAATCCATTAGGTATTTTAAAGCAACTGATTTAAATAACTCAATCCATTTATAGTGATCCTCAGCGTTCAACAACTAGATTTCTTTCTTTATTAATGGATCCTATTTCAGATTTCAATGGATGTTTTCACTATGGAACTTAGTATCGTAATCATCCAAATATCAGAATAAATAGTGACTCTTTGTAGTTATAGACCATACACAAAAATTGATTTTCCGTTGGACTGAATATAAAATCTATAATTACATAGTAAGAAATTGTAATATATCAACTGTTCAACTCGAAAAGTAATGAAACTAAGTAACCGATTTATACTTAGTATATACTCACCTAAAAGTGGTATCTGGCTCACAGATCGAGGTGTGTTTGATGATACAGTAATAACATAAACAGTGGCACCAAAAAATAATGATAATGCAGTGGCTAAGCGATCACTTGGACAACTCAGTGTAAATATTGAACATGTTAACGTTGAAATCAGTGTGAATGGTGCGACAACAAATGTAACAAAGTACAAGGGTTCATGTTTCAGTTTAATAGATATTACCAGATATTGATATTTTGAGTTAGTTTGCCTCAAGTATACGGAAGAATGATAACCAATTTCTTCAATTATCCATTCACTATGATTAGCGTTGGGCATAAAACTGTTATCAATACTTAAATGATCAATTTTTAAATTGATTTCTAGTTGTTTGATTGTACTATATAGTGTAGTCAAAACCAGATAACATTTTTGTCTGTCAAATGGTAATTTAGTCATATCAAGAGGGCAAGATAGTTCTAAAACTGAACCATGTAACCATGTCACGTGACCGTTAGACTCAATCATCAAACGTGATGCATTACTGCTCGAAGCCAAATCAAACAGCCCGTTCTTTTTACGATTTCCAAATGCTAAGTCAGGTCTCCATAATTGTTTACTCTTAAAAATCAGTATATTTTGTAAATCACCAAAATCGCCTGGTTCCCACTTCAGACGATGATCCATCCACCTCTAAAGTAAAAAGAAAACCATTCGTAAAGTGGTAAACAGACTAAAACGGTTTTTTATAAACTGTTTAAATAAATAAACTACTTATAGAAGATATGTAATCCAAACTACGTGTAGGAGATCAAACGATTGTTTCCCTATTCTATATGGTTACTAAACACATTTACCAGAAACCATAGTGACTAACTTTTGTGAACTTATGTTATGTAAGTTTATTGTGAAAATTCCGTTATCAATGAATTGTCTTGGAGGATCTACTCATGAATTTTGTTGTTAGCTAGTGCTAACCAATAATCATCTGATGTAATTTTGTCCATAAATCAATGTACATCGAGTGTATTGTAGTCTATTAGTTATGGATGATGTTGTATCCCCCGGTGAATTACGAATGGTAACTTTTAGGTCTATTTATGGATCAATGTGATATGCCCATTTCCTATTGTACAATTATTACGTAACTGAACTATTCATATTCGTATTTCTCTTATCATTAGCTTTATTTTGACCTTTGACTTATTATCATACGATTCTTGAGTTATAATCAGTTTATTGATTACTTTGGTTTGTATAAAAACTCAATGTGTTTGTAAATAATGATTCATATTGCCGAGACTGTTATTTGTGTTCTGGACTTAACTGGCTGGGCTAGGCAGAAAGCAGGGCCGATACGCACTCAAGACTGCTCGTACGATTTCAAGTATCATTTGCGTCCGATCAATAAATTCACTCCTCTCTAATGGCACGTTCATATATATTACGAGTTCACACGATAAAACAGATGAAAAAATAGATCTTTATCTTTTACCAGTGTCTTTTTTTCCATTGCGTCAAGTCATATCGAGTTTAAGTTCCGTTTATAACACAATTTTCTATCTTTCAGGTACCAGTTCAATTTATACAGCCCAAATTTTGTACAAGACATTATTTCAACTTTACAGAAACCCATGACCACAAACTATTAGATTTAAGTCTCGGACTTCTGATACGTTGATTTCAATCAAACTTTTAAGACATGAAAATATATACAGTATATTTTTATTTGCTTATGCATTTCAAATATTTTACAATATTGTCCAGTGTATTTAATGTTAGCTCGTTGAAGACAGTCAGTTGTAATGATATATTTGCCCATAAGTATTGGGAATAGATTAAAGACAATCTACGTCTTCCGTATTGATCCTCTTTTGATAAAACAACAAACAAATTTTATCGTGAAGATCGTCCTTGCGTTTCAGTTATTATACATTATATTATGAACTCACAGACTACCTTAGACATCAAGGAATACCAGATAGAAATTATAAGAATCCTAGTTTGTAGTAAACAATAAAACACCACGTTCGAAGGAAGCAACGCAGATCTGTTAAAGTGGGAATGTTTGGAGCTTTTATTTAAAACAAATGGAGCATTTTATTTTAAAATAATAACAGTGTTCTGATCAATGAATAAGACATAGCGAAACATGGCATATGTAACACTGTACGGCTCGAAGTTATACAAACTTTAATTTCACATATCTGAAACGGTATAGTAACCTATAATACTTCCATGAGAGATACAGATGAAAAAAACTATTGTTTACAAGGATATCAAGGAGTCTATAACAATGGATCATAAGTTACTTGAGTCTTTGTTTCAAAACATCAGATTATAAGATGTTTTTCTGTTTGACAGAGGTAACATTTTTTACTTGTAATTAGAGTGAATTTCTGTCTTTGTACGGAATTAGGTGAAGAAACTCTATAGACTTCCTGTCCGTATCAGTGTTTCAGTCTGGTAATACATTTCAAATCTGATAAAATGCACGGTGTAAAATATTGTGAACAGTAATGACCCATAAAAAAACTTTCTTGATAATCTGATTTTACATTTATAGGTTGATGAGAGAAAGATGAAAAATTAATTTTAGTCATTTCTAACTCGAATAAATTCTAATATTATTGATTTTTATGTTAAACATTTTGAATATAAATGTGCATTTCTGAACTCCGCCTGTAGCTCTTCTAGAGTTACTGCCGGTCCCAAGCCCGGGTAAAGGAGGAGGGTTGGGCATGGGGTTAGCGACCTCATCCCGTAGAAAAGCGAGCTCGCTAAAAAAACGCTAACCAGAAAAAATAATTCAAACCATTTAAACTCTGCCCTGGGAGTTAAACGAATAATTATTACGTCTCATGATGAAAGCCGAAATTCTTCGGAAGTCACGAGACCGATGCACCTTCTAACAACCAGAGCAACACTCTTTATAGGTACATGGAACGTCCGGACAATGTGGGAGACAGGAAAGACCAGCCAAATAGCAATGGAAATGAGGAGATACAACTTGGCAGTACTCGGAATCAGCGAAACCCATTGGACACAAACTGGACAACAAAGGCTAGGTACAGGAGAGATGCTGCTGTACTCCGGTCACGAAGGGGAAAATGCTCCACACACTCAAGGAGTTGCTCTAATGCTGTCCAAAGAAGCACGAAATGCACTTGTGGGATGGGAATCTCATGGACCCAGGATAATCAAAGCATCATTCAGAACAAAGAAGCAAGGGATCACAATGAACGTTATCCAATTTTATGCACCCACCAATGATAGCAACGACGATGATAAAGATCAGTTCTATGAAAGGCTGCAATCAATTATAGAGAAGTGCTCACGAAAGGACCTCACCATCCTGATGGGAGATCTAAATGCTAAAGTTGGAGTGTACAACACATGATATGAGTATGTAATTGGACGACATGGATTAGGAGAGAGAAATGAAAATGGAGAGAGATTTGCAAATCTATGTGCATTTAACAAATTGGTTATAGGCGGCACAATATTCCCACACAAGCGCATACACAAGGCTACATGGATCTCACCGGACCATGCCACAGAGAACCAGATAGATCACATCTGTATCAACAAAAAATTCTGAAGATCAATGGAAGATGTGAGAACCCGGAGAGGAGCTGACATAGCTTCAGATCACCACCTGGTTGTGGCCAAGATGAGACTGAAGCTTAAGAAACACTGGAAAACTGGACAAACAGCAACAAAAAGGTTCAATGCAGCCTTTCTTCGAGATACTGACAAGCTTCATGAATTCAAGATAACTCTCAACAACAGGTTCCAAGCTCTACAGGATCTACTGGATGGACAAGAAACTACTTTGGAGGACAATTGGAAAGGGACTAACTTCAACGTGTTAGGAGGTTCTTGGTCCTAAGAAGCATCATCACAAGGAATGGATCTCTATGGGAACCCTGGACAAAATTCAAGAAAGGAAGAACAAGAAACTAGGAGTTAACAACAGCCGAACACGAGCAGAGAAGGTCAAAGCACAAGCAGACTACGCAGAAGCAAACAGGGAAGTGAAGAAAATCATTAAAGCCGACAAGCAGAAATACATGGGAGAACTAGCAACGACGGCGGAAAAAGCTGCAAGAGAAGGGAATATGAAACAACTATATGATACAACGAAGAAATTGGCAGGGAGATATAGCCAACCAGAGAGACCAGTCAAGGACAAAGAAGGAAAGACAATCACTGAGATTCAAGAACAGAGGAAAAGATGGGCAGAATACCTCGAGGAACTGCTGAATAGACCAGCCCCATTGAATCCACCGAACATCGAAGCAGCCCACACTGACCTTCCAATAGATGTCACTCCACCAACGATCGAAGAAGTCAAGATGGCCATCAGACAAATCAAAAGTTGGAAGGCGGCAGGACCTGACAATATACCAGCAGAAGCACTGAAGGCAGACATTGAAATAAATGCAAACATGCTTCACCTTCTATTCAAGAAGATTTGGGAATAGGAACAAGTGCCAACGGACTGGAAAGAAGGATATCTCATCAAGATACCAAAGAAAGGAGATCTGAGCCAATGTGAGAACTACAGAGGCATCAGTTTGTTATCAGTACCAGGAAAAGTTTTCAACAGAGTTTTGCTGAATAGGATAGGTCGTGCACAGACCAGATTGCGACACTATGGATCATCGTTGAACAATCAGTTGAATGGAACTCATCACTATACGTCAACTTCATTGACTATGAGAAGGCGTTTGACAGCGTGGACAGGAAAACATTATGGAAACTTCTTCGGCACCATGGAGTTCCTGATAAGATTGTCAACATTATCCAAAACTCATACGATGGACTACAGTGCAAAGTCATGCATGGAGACAGTTGACAGATGCATTTCCGGTAAGGACCGGAGTCAGACAAGGCTGTCTACTCTCCCCATTCTTCTTCCTTCTAGTGATTGACTGGATTATGAAGAATTCGACATCTGACGAGAAATACGGAATACAATGGACAGCTCAGAATCAATTAGATGATTTGGACTTCGCAGATGACCTAGCCCTCCTCTCTCATACACACGAACAAATGCAGATGAAGACAGCAAATGTAGCAGCAACCTCCGCATCGACAGGCCTCCACATTCACAAAGGAAAAAGCAGGATTCTCAAATGCAACACGGAGAACACCAACCCAATCACACTTGATGGCGAAACTCTGGAAGAGGTGGAAACATTCAAGTACCTGGGGAGCATCGTTGATAAACAAGGGGGATCGGATGCAGATGTAAAAGCGAGGATTGGCAAAGCAAGGGCAGCATTTCTACAATTGAAGAACATATGGAACTCAAAACAACTCTCAACTAATTTCAAGGTCAGAATCTTTAATACGAACGTCAAGACAGTCCTACTGTATGGAGCTGAATCGTAGAGAACTACTACGACCATCATCAGGAAGGTACAAGTATTTATAAATAGTTGTCTACGCAAAATACTCAACATCCATTAGCCGGATATTATCAGCAACAGCGTTTTATGGGAGAGAACAAACCAGCTTCCAGCTGAAGAGGAAATTAGGAAAAGATGTTGGAAGTGGGTCGGACATACATTAAGGAAATCACCAATGTGCATCACGACTCAATCCCTAACTTGGAATCCGGAAGGGAAGCGGAAAAGAGGAAGGCCAAAGAACGCACTACGCCGGGAAATAGAAGCAGATATGAAAAGGATGAATGTTAACTGGAAAGAACTGGAAAGGAAGGCTCAGGACAGAGTTGGATGGAGAATGCGGGTGAGTGGCCTATGCTCCTCGACCAGGGGTAACAGGCGTAAATAAGTAAGTAAGTAAGTGCATTTCTGAAGGAAATATTTTCCTAACTACTTATCATGTATTTTAATATTCATCCATTATGGTGGTATTTTGAGATATCATCGGCAACTACGTTAATCAAATTAATTTAGACAACCAGTCATACATCTGATTAGTAATAAAAAAGGTGTTATAGTTATCATCACAGGTTTATTTAAGTTAATCCACCACTTAGAATCTAGAAACACTGAACAGTTGTATGGTCTCACAAGGGGCTCTTCAGCAGCGCTAACGGGTATTTTGTCCAGTGCTTCCTGGTTTACAAATGTGGTCTTACTAAGATAAATATATGATGTAAAACTATGGAAATTCAACAATCTACGCGAGCCCACTTCGCTAGTAATAATAATAATAATAATAGTGAATATAATAACATGATTACAGTATTTTAAGCCATAGACTGAAGTTCGAAGTTAAGATTTTTAATGTCTAGTGATTCTGAAAGTGACTGTGATTGAGATTCAGCTTATTTGACCATAATTTACCCACAAAGCTGGTTGAATTAGATGTGTTTATTGCTAGTGTAAACAGATACATGCTGGGATTATAAATATCCTTCAAGTTTCAGCTTCACTAATATTTGGAGATATACAAACCAATGAAGTTTAACTGACAGGTTTAAGAGTTATATGATCATTAAGGTTCATGAATATCATAAGTTTTATTCGTAAAATAGTTAGGGCTTTACGCTGTTGAGTAACTAAAAACGATGTTAAAATAACCATTTTCAGGAGTAATTCGACTGATTGCATTAATTTAATCTTGTTGTTTTTAAATTAACGAATTTTTTCAAGTAATTTAGTTGAATATTAGAAATTCTCAAAATCTGTTTATTTATGGATGAGTACACTTCTTCTATCTCGTAAGTCAAAATAATGATAGAAAAATATCGGTAGAAATGGATTATTATATTACTAACATGAAGCTATATACGCTTTAAATTTATTTCCATATTAAGTACAATTAATCATTATGATATTACTAGTCTAGCTAATGTTGTCGATTCAATTTAAACCTATGTGAATGAAGAAATGTAGAGAAACGAATAGAGAAGAAAAAAGGAACGAAAAATTGACAGTACCATCCATCACAATTAAAATTAGTAATTGAGGTAATTTTGTTGTGTTTAACCACCAATCAACCCGTGCATTATAAAATATTGTGCAAAAATTACTTAAGATTAAGTGAATATTAGGAAAGAAAAATGAAAATAATGAACACATTGATATGCATCGTGCATTTGTATACAACACTTAAGAGAAAGAATATATATAGAGAGACTAACTTACTATTGTAAACCATCCAGATATTATAAGTGTTTCATCTGAATGTGACTGAAAGGAGTGGGAGAGAGAAAAAAATGTACAGTCGATAAGTTTTTTGTTGTTAGCGAAAGATAGAAATTAAAATTACTGTCATAAATGAAACTTCAAAAAATGAATATTTATTATTTTTCAAGTGACTTAATTGGTTTCATATCATGAATGAGATAGATGATAGACAAATAGAGGGACAAGAAACTATGTTTTAACTGACATGTGTTATTTTGGAGTTTTCGCTTTTGCCAAACAATCTTGTTCGATGTAAGTGAATGGAAAATTACATCGTTAAACAATTTAAATATATATACTATCTAGGAAAAAGTTATAATAACATACTAGATAACCAATAGCTAATGAAATTTTTTAGACTACTCGATGAATTCAAATCATTGTGACAGTCTTTAGGACAAAGATGTTATTGGCTAAAAGTTTCCAACACCACGTCTTTCAAAGGTGAGTCTCGTAGTTTATTCTTTATCTGTTTGTTTTATAAACTCGACTATTTTGTTTGTATGTAGTGAAAATAGTGGGTGATAACAGTTGAAGATAAATTAATTTATACTATACAAACTACGTGACTAAATAATGAACTATCGTTGATTAATGACTCGATTTTTTGTTGAATTACCAGAGTTTTAGTTCGAAATAATTATTCCAAAGGTCAGAAAGAAAATAGAAGTCGGTGGTTACTATGTATATTGGATCCACGGCAATCAATGTCAGAAAGTGCCTAAAATCGGAGAAATATTAAATCAACGCACGAACGATAATAACCTCTCTCTACTGTATGTAATTCCTGGGTTTAACATTTTGTAAAGTTTTCAGACCGAGAAAATAAAACAATCTAGCTCCCTCTTTCTTCCAGCAACTCTCTAATTAACTATAGTCTGTGACGACAATCATTTGAATAATAAATAAATCTCGACCAGAACTGTTACGAATTAGTTATTACTGTTACTTCATGACTGAAATTAGGTTTTGAATTATTATAGGAAAGTTTGAAATGAATTTATTTATAACTAAACAATAAAGTTCTCGAACACACTTCAAAGGAAGAGGCATAAATATCCATTCTACTTATTATATGACAAGAAGTATCACTTAAATTTTTCAGTAATTCCAGAAATGCAGTTTATTGAATACTATTCGAAATAACAGTATTTAGGCTGATCATCTGCAGTCACTTACTAGTATTTAATACTGTTTATTTTCAGTCATGATGCCACCCCTTAGTTAATATTGAGACAACAACAGTTTAATTAAATGTATTAACACAAAGTTTTCATTAATCTATTCTAATGATAATTTGCAAAATAGTTTTCAGATTTATTTCTGACAAAAATCATGTGCATGATCTGTAGGCAAACTAAATATTTTTTTCAAAGTTGACTTATTCCTCCAAAAAGAAGCAAATTTTTTAAATCGCTGTTTTGAAGCCCTTAGGTTGAATATTTAAGCCTAAGTTCGTCATCTTAAACCCTCATACTTAATGTCTGATTTTTAAAAACGCATTCACCAGTTTTACAATTAGGCTGAGCAGAATACGTTTTGGCCAATCTTTCAAAAACTCATGAATCTCGGGATAGAAATAGTGAAAAATAGCGGTTTTAAACGGAAGCTAAATAATTTTATTGTTGTTCATCAATAAGATTGACTAAAAGCTTTGCAATATAAATCATACCGCATTTAGCGATTATTATTTCTTTTTGATATATTGATATTTTAGGCCCCTGAAATATCATTGATTATATATGATGACTAGAATGAGATGTAATTTCCATTCTATTCGCGATGAAAGATAGATTTTATAAAAAACGGCAATATACGCTTCACAATTTCAAATCACTGGTAGCGAAAATATAAGCTTATCTTACTATCTCTTTTATTGGGTGGAGGACATTCCATCCCATTCTTTGTCTGTCTACTTATAGGAAGATATTAAATTTAACGGAAATTAATAAATAAAACTATATGAGCAGTAGATAGTCCTAGATATAAGTAAACTTGTCATGTTTCATTAAAACAAAACATTAAAATGAAACCTACCAACTTTACTACTTGTATAAGATTATATGTTAGATTAACAAGAAGGGGCTTCTGACAAACATGAGGACATGCAGATGGTTGCAACCATAAATTAGGTTGATTGATCAAATGATTTGCTAGAATTTCTTCATAACTTTTACCAAAAACTGAGTCTAATTGAATTAAGTCCAATGAAAAAAAAACAGAAATGGGTCAGTGACATTGCTGAGGATACAATGTTTTCAATGCTATACAAACTATCGGTTCTCTACAGAAACAATAAAGAAGTCAAAAGAATTCGAAATAAGATAACATCAAACGTAATTTAAATTTCAAGCAACTAACAAAATATTGGCTTCATTTGAATATGTCTATATTTCTGTTGTGAAAACGGACGGTGGTTTTTAGTGGGTTATTTCATTTTTCTTCCAAATTTGAAACGGACATTGAGAACTAATCAATTGCATCGTAATTAATAGATAATCTCTTGAAGCCATCAGTTATTAATCTATTTTGCATTATGAGATAAAATGTATTTGACTAGTGTTGTTGACAACGGAAGCAACATATTGTAAATTTATGAACTTCATGGCTATTAAATTATTCAAATATTTTGCTTAGCCAGTTTTCTCTTTATTATCATAATTAACTATTTGTTCAATGTGTATGCATTTGCTTTCAGAATGAAAACAGACCTACGAGTGACTGACGACATTTGAATTTTCACTGGAAATGTAGGAAAATTTTGGTATACATGTCTTTGTTGAGCCAAATATGATGAAACATAACAGTTAATATTATAAGGATTTAAGTTGATTAAATGTCTACTTCTAAATAGTATTTATGATAGAACAGTGAAGATAGAATATCACTGAACAGTAATTTCACTTTATATTTAAAATTTTTTGTTAACGCTCATGTTCTGTTATGTGATTATTTGAGAAGTGTAATCTTAGTTGAGTACTGAGTTACAGTACAACACAATGAGCAGAGGTATAACTAAGCTTGTTGTTGAATTAACTCATTTACATCAGTAGTGCAACATACATTCAAAATATTTAAAACATCTATAATTAACCAGGTCACGTAATAACCAATTGTAATCTAATGCCTAATTCCTGCTATCTTTGCTAAATATTTTGTTTACAACATGTAGTATTCCCTTCTTATGATGGAGATATTTGATACTAACTCCGAAAATTATACCAGAATAATATAAACTGAAGATATCTAATAACAACACATCAAGTGCCATAGTGAAAAGAGGTAGAAAGGTTTTTAAAAAAAATACTTTTATTCTTATCAGAGAAGCAGAAGTTTTAATGCACCTCATTCAAATAAATGGCTCATTAATGACCTTCGATCTTGAGGAGAAAAATATTCTTTTAAAACTTGAAGCAAAGTGAATTTTGTATTGAGGGGATATATGAAATTTCGATCAATGGGGAATTTAAAGGAGTAAAAATAAAAGTTTTCACTTATAGAATAACTTCGATTTATTTCGTCTGCTTAATTGACTGAACTTCACGGAGGAAAACGTCATAGATTTTTTAAATAGTTGGATTAATTCATTCATTGTCCGAAAGCTGGTAGAATTTATTTACCTACAAATCATAATACGATAATGTTCGTCACTTGCATAAGTCTCAATCCTCATGATATTTTCAACCATACGAAGAACTCAATGATCATATTTTCAACATACAATCATTGAGGTAATATGGTTTTATCATGCACTTGTTTATAAATTTGTTAGCGTTTGACATCATGAGTCAAGTTTGTTCATACTTTTATGGATCGCATACGTTTAAAGTATATCAAAACACAATTATATGTACGAAAAATATTATTATCAATAGTTTCTCATCAGGTTCTACAAATATATATCCAAATTAATAATCCATAAAAATTGGTTCAATTTAAAGAAAACTAAATCTTCTAAGAATATAACATGTGAAAAAAGTGTTGTTTGTCATATAAAATCAAATAAAGTCGTTATCAGTGCGAGGTTGTGGAGACCGCTAATTTTTTGATTGAGATCATGAGTCAACGAATTTTAGACCACCATTGAAAACCTGGAAACATTGAACGGCCGTTTCGTCCTACTCTGGGGCTCTTCAGTAGTGAGCATTCACGATCCAGCATGTAGAATTCGAATCCAGGACCCTCGGTCTCGCACGTGAACACTTTACCTCTAGGTCATCGAGCTGATATCCAACGGTGTTAACGTCCAACTCTAACCAATCCAGTGGAGCTAATCCGTGTCAGGTAGAGACAGGTATCTACCTTAGAAAATTGAAGATGGTCACGCAATTTCACGGATTGGTTCAAGTTAGACATTAACACTGTTGGATACTGGCTCAGCGGTCTAGAGGTTAGGTGTTCAAGCGCGAGACCGAGGGTCCTGGATTCGAATCCTACAAGCGAGATCGTGGATGCTCACTTCTGAAGAGTCCCATAGTAGGACGAAACGGCCGTTCAATGTTTCCAGGTTTCAATGGTGGTCTAACATTCGTCGATTCATGATCCAAATCGTTATTTTGAGGTGACTAATATGAAGTGTTAACTTGAATAAGCTCATACGTTAAATGAAGATGTGAGATCAATGATCAGAATAAATATTGTCAACATGGAGTGAGTGAGAGAATGATGCAATTACAAATCAGAAATTATGTAATATGTAGAATATGAATTAGGTACGAATTAGTAAATAGGGTTTGATGCTGAATAAATTTCTCAAAAAGGTTGGTACGTGTCATAATAATGATAATAACAATAATGTGTGTTTACGATTGAGACATAAAAATGAACATTAATCATATTTCATTACCATGTCATAAAATTGATAACTAACTAGTTAGGCCCGAAGTTGGTCACAGTAAAAAGAGTAGCTCTAGCGTTTTAATCCCAATAGCAATTGCTTCGGCAGTCTGAAGGGTTCTCAGTCTGATGGATTTAGGCAGACTGCTGCTAATACAATATATTATATTGATTGATTACGATTGAAAATATAATCTAATATCCGATTAAATTCATCTACATCCTTTTGCCTCGATCGAACATCATCCATTTTTCACTGTTACTAGATTTGGGAGAGTAATATTTGGTAATTGAAGATTAAATTTAATTATCCTTCTTACCCAATAACTTTCCGTTACTTATATCTTTTTACATTTCAAAAAACTTGTTGATTTCCTTTTAAATAACGAGCTTAACTATTTACTAAGTGAAAAATGTGGTAATTTGAACGGTTTTCAACATGTGATATCGATTTGTGAGCTATTTATGATGAAAAGATAGATATTTACAATAACTGATCATTGAGTCATTGTCATATTTGTTCAGTGCTTAATGTTGATCTAATCCTATCAATCAAGTTACAATGTAATCATTAGTCTAGGTTAATCGAATAGCTTGTCAGTAATATCCTTTAAGGTTGCGAGTACAGCTTATTGATGCGTGTCAGCTGACATAAAACTAAGTTCTAAAGTTTTCTGCGGACTACCTCCGACCACTCAGAATCAGAAGGTTGATATTTTATTAAGAATAAATGATTCACTCATTTAAGCTGCTCAGTTTAGCAAATAACCAAATTCAGTAATACCAACAAAACTAGGAATAAAAATGGAAGTTAAATGGTGAAGAAACTTCAAATGACACCATAAATTTATCATGAAAATGCAGACTTCTGAACTATCCTTGAGACTGTGGGATGCTAAGTTCTTACAGATTTGTTAACTACTTCCATCCGATGGCATTTGCACTATATCTTGACGGAAATGGAAAGTGTAAACAACCGAATTTCAGTTTAGATCTCGATGCTTACATGTTTCAACACATAGCTACATATTCTCAATTCAAACTCATCTGTAGTGATAATTTTTGGAACAAAAGATAGGACAGAGTAACCAAATGAATGTTTCATGGTTTTACCGATTCCCAGATGACTTTTAGTCCACCTATGCAAATATTTAAGCTCCATGTAACCAGAGAAATACTACGAGTCGAAAGTACTTAAACTGATTGGCAAATTATTATATTTCCACTGACATTTATAAAGAATATTGAGAATCCTAATTACTAACCTTTCAGGTCATCGAAATAAACAATCAAGAATATATACGTAAAAAAATATATAGAACTTTATAAGCATTAGTAAAAAGATGAGAATTTTAATTATAGTGTCAGTGGTGAGAAACATTTGGAGTAATATCATTTAAGGATACAACATCTGATTGTGAGATAATAATTATCTACCAGTAACTGAGTATATACTCACCTCTCTTGATTACTGATTAATTTTTATCAAAACAATATGTCCGATATCATACAACTTCCGATCAATTATTTTGTTAATGAGAGGTGACGAAAAAATAGTATAATAAAATGACTATAAGGAATGAGAAACTGATGTTCTTGAAAACCTTGTTGGTTTTTCAAAAACTAAATTCAAATCTCTGTCAGTACTTGTATATTAATACCAGTTTATCTTTTAAAGTAGTTTTTAAAAATTAAAATGACAGTAAAACTATAATATAGGGAATAGCCAGTTGGAATATAGAAAGCTATTTTCGTGTTTTACGTGACTTACAAAAGTTATTCTTTAAGTCATCATCTAATAAAACTCGAAAGAAATACCGTAGTGTAGTGCCCAGTACGTTTGAATTTATCAGTGAAAATTCTTTTTGGTCATCAAAAGATGAAAATGACAATGTTAAACATGTCGCATGCTCACTTCTTTTAACGTAGATCACAATTAACACGCAAATCCAGGAGTCTTTGTTTTTATATACTTCGTTCAAAGTAAGCTCAAAAAATTTCTTTATCGGTGGTTTACTGAACAATAAACAAACTAGTGAAAGAGGACTTGCTGATATCACTGTTTCAGAATTCCATCTCGTTAGCTGTTAGGCAGATTTGTTAATAATTTTTTGTAGGCGTTGATGAATATGTAATTAGTTATATGGCTGTGAAAAAGATTAAGATAAAGATCTTTAGCATGAATACATTCTCATTCATTTATCTGAAGTTATGTAACAGTATTTCCTTAGTGTTTAAATTGAGAAGCTGATGATACACTTTGAAAATCAATAAACTTCCTAAAACCACTATGCCCTAAAGGGTTTCTCATTATTTCTTTAACGAAATACCTTTGATCTACATAGACTCTGTTCATAATCTGAAATGCGACTTTTGCATACATATTTAATTTTTCGGGCAGAAAGTATTGAAACCTTTATGAGGATGCTTCTTATCTATTTTTCATGTAAATAAATACGAAATACTTATCACTCGTGATGTTAAAATTACAAGGATAATGCACTGAAAAGTTTTGATCTGTCATTTAGTAAATGATGAATGGTTAATTCTAAATATTCCATACAACCAAATATCCTGCTGTGTCAGTTTAGAATTCGACATTTAAACTATGTAAAGTAGTATTTAGGTAGAGTACAATATCCAAAGATTAATTAAGTCAGTCATTAGATATTCTATAATTTTTGACTGACACCACTTGCAATTCATATTTCATCTGCTTTGATACATGTATGTATTGTGACATTTCAAGTGACAAAACATGATCTCTAAGTTCTTGTTACGAATATCAATATCACAAGAGAACTAATTTCGATCGGTTCGTGAATCTCATCAAAATGGGACTAGTCTACTCATATGTAAAGAAATTCAAAGCAGAAAAACTAAGCATTCTAACGTTTATAGTCATACATTGTAAATCGTGTAATGATTGACATAATTAGTCTTTAGCCATTGCACTGTGCCTAGAAATTACTTTACACAATTCAAATGTAATATTTCAAACTGACACAGCGGGACTGTTGTTTTTATACAGAACAATTTAGATTGTCCGTAAATTATTTACTAAATGACGCGAATTAAAACCTTTTGGTGTGTTACCATCGTAATTTCAACATTTCAGGGAAAAGTGGTGATTATCAGGTAATTACGTAAATTAAGGATATCCAAATGGATATTATATATAATTTGACAGACCTCAGGATAGTTCGTCCTAATTATTCAAACTTCAATTATAGATTATAAATTAACTATGATGTTGATGTTTTCACTCATCCTGGTGCGAAACAGTTACCTTAATTTTTTAAGATACATTCCGCTGATGAATGCTATCAAGCATGAGGCATAAATGTAAGTTCTGTTGTTTACATTTATACTGAGTTTATTTTCTATTGAAGAAAAGAATATCAGTTTGAATTAGCTAAGATTTATGTGGAACACTTATTTAATACTACAAAATTACACAGAAAATAACTTCTCACATTTCCACACTAATAAGCAATCGAGAGCTAAATGCCTGTACTTGGATGTTTCGGAAGATAAATCTTACAACCATTTGAATTTATCAAATACCGCAGTGAGGTTACATTTTAACAATGCAAATCTTCGGAAGAAAGTTTAAATACAGAAAATTTAAATAAATGACCCAGTAGTTTAAGTACTGATGTCTTTTTATGAGCCGGAGTTTGTGGTACTCAATTGACTGTTTCTAGATTGGCGATAGTCATAATTTTTAAACTGCTTTATTTCTTTCCAACCAAACTGATACAATTAAAAGAGAATTAGCTACTGAAGGATATCATTTTCACAGTTGAGCCTTCGTTGTTTTACTCTGTTCAAGTACATCACAGTGTTTTTCGAATGTAGTGTTCATGAATTTGAATCTATGTGTCAACGGTACTGTCAAAACTTTTCCCGATAATCGTTTCACGAACTTTCAATACACTTGATCAGTATCACAAAAGCCGGTTTGTGAGTTTTCTGAGTAACCATGATTGATCAAATATTATATTATTTTGTTTCTCTCTGTAGAAAAATGTAAAGGTATTTTCAAATATGCTTTCGGAGGTCATCATGAACCATTCAAATAAAATCCTAATATCTTACATCATACAGCATTTAAACAATTTGTGCTCTTTGAATGATGAGATCCAACTTCTGTATCAGCAAATGAAAGGTATAATTTATACAAAATCGTCCTAAAATGTGCGCCCATTATACATAAGAATTTATCGATCGAATCATTTGGTAGGAATTGCTTTACGCTTGTTGTGTTATGCATGCTTTTGCTAATCTTATGACGGTCGTTGTAGATTACAGTTTCGTGTATAATACATATTATCTGATAAATCAAGGCCGTTAGGAGAAATAATTGATGAGTGTACCTAATCGCAGATTAGTTATCGCCTTTAGTATAACCTCCGAAATTTCGATAATTATTTTACTTGGATCTACATTGAACATGTTGAGTGTGATGATTTAGTCTTGGCAATCAAACTTTATTTTTGCATGAAGAAAATATTTTGAAGGCAATACTAAATACCTTATATATATAATGAAAGCACCAGTAACATTGACTGCAACATTCGCAGATGTTACTGAAGCTTCGGCTGTTCAGTGGTATGAGTATTGTAGGGATATATCCACAATGAAAATGACAGATTCATACAATCGGAGTACACACAAACAATATTGAAGCTATGTGGTCGAGGCTGAGAAAGTTTTTGAGACCTTATCATTTCTCCAGAGACCGATAATTATGGAGCCATATAGATGAGTTCCTCTACCTTATGCATTAAGATTTTAGAACCTTTGAATCTCTTTCTAACCTTGACAAGTTTTTGGACCATGTAAAAGAAGTGTATCCACTTTAATTCCTTGGTTTTTTATAATATGTTTTTTCACTCTATACTGACTGTTCACTGATTGACTAATATTTCACAGGGTCACTTGAAATTCGTAAAATTATAGTCTCGCGGAAATATTTTGTGCTGAGAATTCTATATCGTACCATAAATATAATATTGAATAAAGCTAATAATAATAGTAATATAATAGTATATGTATAATATATAATATAATCTGGATATTTGTGGAACAATCAAAATTTTTCACATTTAGTTGCAGTATGCAATAATGATTTTGTCCAATGAAAACTGAAGCTATGTTGTAACTAAACCATCCGGCTAAGAAAACAATGTTACCAAAACATTTTTACTGACATTTACTCTGAAATGAGGTCTCATGGATTTAAAAAACTAGAAAATAATAATGACAAAACGACTGGCAAAACATGATAAAGGAAAGAAAATTAGTGACTATTTTCATTTGTTTGAAAGGAAACTAGATTAAACGTGAATTATTTAATTGGTACTAAGAGAAGAAAGAAAATAAATTATGAGTCGACCATAGTATTCAAAGGTATTTTTCTGAAAGTGGAGATATATCTAGAGTTACTTTTAAGTTGACGATACAAATCATGTCATTCTTGATGTTAATTAAACGATAAGACATGACACTAGACAATTAATATCATACTTCTCAGGACTTAGCTTTACTTATTCATATATTAACCAGGTTCAAATACATATAGGTCTCCTTTTTGTATTAACATACCTGCTTCATCAAAACAAATGTAAACTCTTTTCTTGATCAAAACAAGAGAAAAGTCTTCAATTTGATTTTTTTTTAAATATGGTTTTAAACATTTTGCTCATAATTTCAGTAACAGTAACACAAATATAAGCAAATACAAAACATGTTATTCTAAGGAAACTTTTGCACTGTTCGAAAGTAATGACCATCACAAGCTGACGTCAGTTGGAAAAACATTCAAACTTGAATATATTTCAGGGCATTTTTACTCATATATTGTACTCGTTGTTTTGAGATAAAAACAGTAAAAACCAATTGTTTAAAGTGAGTGGGTCTCACTTTCAGAATTTGTCTGAATTAGGAATACAGACTAAAGAATTCTAAATCGGTAACTTACTAGTTCTATATTTCTTTCAAGATATCAAGTTATTCGGTTCGACATTGATAAGATTAATTCCAAAATAAAGACAGATTAATTCTTAACTTTGCTAAACTTTACCCGATATCCATATATTCATCATATTCTTACAGCTTAAAACTTTATATTGGCACAAACAACAAAAGACGATAGTGGTCATCAGTATATGTAGACAATAAATTCAGAAGTTTATTAAGACAAAAAACAGTATACGTAAGGATGCAAAAGTTCTGTTGACTAAACATAATGGTAAGCTATGTAGATTTTTAAATTATTTTATGACCAATTAAAGTCTATGCGATGCATTGTAACAGCTTTTGTTCATTTTAGTCAAGTCTCATAGTTTTCATGATGATTATTTCTACAGTTTTGAGTAAAACAGTTTATACTTTAAAAGACAAACGACTCACTAACTTGAGTATCAATGAAAGACTAACTATAATAACTTCTGATTACCTAAAAATTGAAAGGACTTCTGGGATAGTATTTTACACAATCACTAGCCTAGTTATTTAGAACGATGTACTTAGGCATATTGTAATAATATCTATTCTTACAAATGTTGCCTCCCAATTTTATGTTATAAATTACATCTAACAGATAAATTATTTTTTCATTATAACTATAGACAGTATTTTCTTAAAGGATTTCCACTTATGTTAATGCTTAAAATAATTAATCATACCGATAAAATTAAATATAAAATCCTCGATGCAAACTGGATGCATGCAATTATTTTCCCGTAGAAGTAAATTCAAAAAATGTATAATATGAAGATCACATCAAGGACTGACTTCGGGTAGATAGCTAAGGCCTTCAGGTATTACATCGAGCGCGATATGACTGAAGTTAGAAACGTGAATTTTTGGATGCCAACTTAGTGGTTAAAAAGGATAAGATCTCATACCGAGGCCTGAAGGTCCTGCGTTCGAGCCCTCGTGGAATAGTGGACGTGCATCTCTGAAGAATCTCATGCATCTGGTAAGTAATTCTTGTTTTTCATTTGGTTATCCAGCCTAGGTCATTCCTTGATGTGAAACTTCAAATTCAACAATCTTCATGATACTCTATAATAATAATAATAGCAGAATAACTGCTTTATGAAAAGAAAAATCACTGACTCACTAAATGTAAAAAGGTTTATAGAAATGATAATTAAATCAATATAGAGCCAATACATAAATTCCGAAGAATCCAAAGTTAAAAATGTATATAAATATTAATTCAGCTAAATATATAAAGAATCAGATCCCACTTTCATTAGGATAGATCCATAGATGTAGTAAGAGCAATTTATATTTAATATACCTAAGAATTCAATTGGCTATTGGTTTGACCAATCTAAATTAAAATAAAATAGCATGAAAATCAAATTTACCTATATTCACTTCAAGCTGAACATTTAAGAAAAAAAGAGGCAAAATAATTAAATGAATACGACATCGCTGAAAAATACTTTTTATTTACATATATACATATTATTTTGTCATTTTGAATTAAATAACTGGGCATTTAGTCAGTCAACTCTCTCTTTACAAACTCTGTATATTCGAAGTACTTTACGTTAGTCTTTAAGCAAGTTCTACAGAATTATTCAAGTGGATTAAACGAAAGAATATACAAGTGACTAAGTTGTTTTGTTTCCATTCAAGTTGGTTTTAAATTATTTTATATGATATTCAACTTAAAGACTAAGCTTTGTAGTTAGGAGGAAATTTTTCTTGATTTTCGGACTTACTGTAAATTTTAATGACATTCGTAATTAACCTTCTTTTTACTTTCCATCAAGTTATATTAACATCACTGTAGTTAGATTATACATTGTTTACAAACCAGAAGCACTGTTTGTCTAGAGCTGTCATAGTACTGTGCTTTAAGATAATGTAAAGTTATATCACTGAGCAAGATCGTAGATCAATAGAAGTTAGACAATTACACTGTTGCATACCTTCTTGATGGTCTGGGGGTTAGGCGTTCCTGCTCTAAACCGAAGGGCCTGGGTTCAGGATGCGCACTGCTGAGGAGTCCCACATTAAGACGAAACGGTCGTCTAGCTCAGGTCAACACGTGACTTCAAATGTGAAGATAATCATAGGCTACATAAGCTCGTTCTGTCTCATATCGAAATTTCCGAAGTATTTACTACATCCATCTGACTTTAGGCTGAGCAACTAGAACGTTCCAGTAAATACGATTCCATTCATACGAATAACAATGAATCAATCAGTCTTCCGAAAATATCTTTCCCCTAATTAAAGAACTAGACTCAGGGAATAAAGTTGACCACAATTATCTGCGAATATATCAAAACCTAAGGCACGAACGATACACAGTTTAGTTCTTGATACTTAATAACTCTTAAATCTCCATCTTTATGACAAGTTATATTCTCATTTCATTATATCATGAATAAGTAACATGATATTTTCTTTAATCAATTCAGCATACTGAGAAACACTCATCAACTGACAATGATGGATAACTGACGCATATTCAACATAATCTGACTCTACTGATTACGACATCTGATTCAAACCCTGGTAGTTGAATCTTGAAGCTAGTCACTAGTGAGGAGGTAATTATGGCTAGTAAAGGGGGATAGGTGAAGACTGAAGAAATTTATCAGTTCAAGTCCCGGCTGAGTGGTCTAAAAGTTGAGAGCTCTGGAGCGAGACCAAACGTCCTGAATTCAGTTCCCTGATGCGCACAGATACGGAGTCTAGTGCTATCGTCTCCTGCAGCATTGCGCATACTACAACCTGCTTCTGGCTAAGATCGACTATCGGTGCAGTCGCCACCAGTGTGCCAACTGGAACCATTTTCTGCAACTCAAGCCTGAACTCAAAATTATCACTTTGCCATCAGCTAACGTTACTGTGGTTATGTGCACGATTACCTGTCGTCTAGAAATACTTGACTGAACTCTGATCGTGGTTTGGTTCTCATTAAGCTTATTTTGCGTCTCGGTGACATGAAAACACATCAATCTAAGCGAAGTGATGTGACCAAATTGGTCACAGCTTGTGTTGCAAACAAATATTAAGATAAGTTATGCTCAGGTCTGGGTGTTGGTTCACTGTAAGGTGTAGTTGAGAAATAGCTGGATCTTCAGAGTGCCATGAAAATGAATATTGAAATCACTTGTAGCTTTCTAAAACGTTCTGAACATGGGCACTAGTTTTTTCATACACTTCGCAGCATGACATACTTTCACTCACGGCGAAGAATTATTATGTAATGCCTGCGTAAGGACCGAGAAGCCTGTTTGTTGGAGCGCGTCAACGATTTTAAAGCAGAGGCTGCATCTGTTGGCATTTTCAAATCATCCAAGCAACCGGTATTGAACGAAACCATCTGCAAAGTTGACTTGACCCCAATCAATAACATTAGTCGATTTATTCAGTGATATGCATATTTTTTCGACGAAAATTTGCTCCATTCTGTTGCGTTGACGACATCGATCGATCTGTCTTTTTTAACAGCCGAAAGTAACTGAACCTCTTGTTGACGTGCAACTCCTAAAGAACCTTCAATCATTCAGGCGATATAATTCACCAATCCCAGGTTACTTAACTCTAGGTCTTTTCAAGGATGGTGGCGAACTTCTGTTTAGGAAATTGACTGAGTTGTTTGCAAACGATTGGGAGATAGAGACTGTTCCAACATTCAGGAATGAGGATTCTGCAACCCTTACATTAAAAAAACGCTTGCGTCACCTATGCAGCAAATAACGAGGGATATATCTATTTAGGATGCATCCAAATTTCCGGCTTCCATCATATCTCGCAAACTTTTCAAAATCCATTGAAGAATAACTCGCGAAGAACAGGCTGTTTTCCATTCTTGCTGAGGATGTATTGATCATATCTTCAACCTCCGACAGAATTTAGAACAACCCAATGTTTATTACTGGCCAACAATTGTCCTTTCCCTGAATATCAGAGCCGTCTTCGAATTGCTAGACAGTACTGTGCTCTGATATTGTTTACTGGAGACAGGTGTACCTGAGTTTATTAACATCCTGAAGTTTTCATATACAAACACCTTAGATGGAATGAGAGCATATAACTACTTCTCCTCATTGTTCCACTCAAGCAATGGGGTTAGGTGAGGTTATACGACCTCACCATTTCTCTTTAACTTTCCCATCGATGATATTCTGGAAACTGCCCTTATGGAGGAGGTACTGCTTGCGTGGATCTGTTTATTGGAGAAAGATCTTTTAATCTCGAGTATTCTGATTACACTGTCTTACTATGAAATGATGCTCAATCCTAGCAATGCACACTAAACCAGTTGGCAGTCAGTCCATAGATATGGCATTCGCTTTTTATATTTTAAGTGCAAAGTACTTTTAAAAGACCTTCAATGGCCCATACCAACACTCACTCTTGATCGTTAGTAGTTAGAAATGGTCAAAAAATTTGTGTATTTGGGTAGTTGTGTAGGTATTGGTTTTGGTGTGACTGATGAGGTCAATCTACGTATGGTGAGATCTAGAGCGGCTTATGCTAATCTGACCTATCTTTGTTAACGTTTTAACGTTAGTCTGACTGCGAAAAATTGGGTTTACGACGTGCCGGTATGAACAGTTTTGCTATACGCTTGTGAAACCTGGGCTCTCAGAGTTGAATATATTAGACAAATCTTTGTTAGGTCATTGCTGTCTCAAAAGGATTACTGAAATTCAGTGGTAACTCCATGTTTGTAATTAGAAGGTTCTACAACGTGCTCAGACACACTGACAACAATTCATGCTAAAACAACAAAGTTGGTAGCTTGGACATGTACTACGAATGTCGTCTCGGTGAATGCCACATCGTGTATGATTTATTGATGCTGAGACTGACTAAAAACTTTGGGGAGGTAGTAAATTTACGACATGGTGTCGTGGTATGAAAGAAAGAAGTATACGACTGGTATCTGTCAGTCCATCACAACTCCCTTGTTGGGATCGCAGAGACATTGCGATACAATTGATTCCAAGATGTTTGAAACTAAAAACTAAAAATCAAAAATGTGAACAGTAGTTCATATACATAAACGAAAACATGACAATGATTGCAAATGGATTTGTGATCATATCAAAAAGACCTTAAAGACCGTTTATTAAATTCAATTAAGGCTGCAAAATTCGACCATTTGAGTGATTTTTTGATTCATCTGTTTTCAGGGAAATGAAATAAATACGTATAACATTACACCATATTATAGTATAGTATAGTGTTACCCATGACACCTGTCATTCATATCACCTTTTGATATTCGCTACTGCTCTGTGTTGTCGAGTACATTTCTTGTTGGTCTGTGTTCAAGTTTTCATCGTTCAGTGCTGTCAGGTTGACTTTTGCGTTTAAATATCAATTCAGTAGAAGTTTCTGAAATCCATTAGTCTTTTCTAAACTTTTAACTTAAGATACCGATGGACTTATATTTACAGTTGTCTGTATATCTTGTGAACTTCGTCAGGATAAGATTTCTCTTCATGATAGGCTAAGTGAATTCAAGAACATTGACATCTTGGGAATCAAGCTTACTTTCTTCGCTTTTCTGATTTTAATATAGTGAGTGACATAAAAATGACGCCCTGACTGTGAAAAAACCTGTTTACTTAACTCCATTGAGGTACTTACGTTTCTAGTTTAAAAATCTACTGCTTATTCAGAAGCTACTTACGTTAACTCATTTAAACACTTGTGAATTATAACTGTTAGATATATGTATACACTAATCACTTCTCAAGTTTCGAAACAATCAAATGAGCTTCATAGATGATAGTTTATTCAGCCATTCACTATTAAGTTCCGTATTTAAATATGACATAGAAGTCGAAATCCCAAACTAGTTTCTCAGTTTTAGATCTCTGTTACAACCTCAAATTAAAAGCATCAGTTAAGAAAGTTCTTCAGTCGTATATCTTTTGTTTATAAATAAGTTTCATTTCATTTGTACCACACTGTGAATTGCATTAGAATCTTCCTTTCGAAATTTTAACGTTGGTGACTTTATTAGTGAGTGTTGATTCAGTAAGATTATATGAAAATACTTGTTTAAAATCAAAATAAATTTTTATCACCAGCGAAAAAGTTCGTTACCGCATTTTTTTCAATATACTAAAAAACATTTTCGTCACGAAATCAGTGTCTGAACATCCTCAAGAATTTTTCTAAAATCCGGCCA